CCACTTGTCATAGTTTAGTTGATGCTAGTAACAGAATGTCATTTTGTTAATAGAAAACATCAGTTTCTATATAAAAAGGTCAAATACTGAATAAGAATCATAGCATCCCAAAATTCTTAATCCAGTTTTAAGCTATTAAAACTTAAAACTACACTAAGAATTTTAGGATGCCCTACATTAATTTTTCACCCACTTCAATAAATAAAGCCATAAAGAAATGTAAAAAAAAATTTCTTGCAAGTAGTATTCATTATATATAAATAAAGCTTTGTTTTTCACCCCCCTTCAGGCCTACACAATGCAACAGGTTCAGCAGTTATAAGAAAGATAGCATCTTACATGTTGGGCTGTAAGGGACCACTGATGTCATCACTTTACAGAGGATGAAAACTGAGGCCCAGAGAAGTTAAGGGACTTGGTCCAAGGTCAATGGCAGCATTTACCTCTCCAGTGCATCATGCTACAGATACCCTGAGATATTTCTAAGTTATTCCATAAGATGAAGGTAGAAAATGAAATCAAATATGGGCAGGCACATTAATGATTCACTGTTGGTGGAGTTGTGAAGTGGTCCAAGTATTCTAGAAAATAATTCAGAACTTTACGAGGAAAGTCATTAAGCTGTACAAACCATTTGGGCCAGTGGTACCACAACTAATAAAGATTTCAGTGGTATATACACCAAAATATTTACTGCAGCACTTTTGGGGGTACTCATCAACCAGGGAAAGGCTGAGCAAATTATGGTATATGAATGTGGCAGAATATTATTTATTATGCTGTAAGAAACAACAAATATACATATTCAGGGAAACAAGGGAGGTTTTATATAAACTGATGCAAGGTGGGTGGAACTGAAACAATTTGCACAATGATTACAGTAACTTAAGGGTACAAAGCACTTTCCTCGAAGTAACCTTCTGAGGTAGGTACTGCAGGTATTAACGTTTTATGATTAAAGAATCTGCGAATTACACAGCTTGTGAGTGGCAGAGCTGGAATTCTAACAAAGAAGAACAATAATATTCCCCCAAGTAGGGTTAACTGTTAACTGGGCTAACTGAATCTAAAGCAGCCTTAAGAAGTGCCTTTACAACCCCAAATGTCCAATCCTGACTCTAGTCCCCGAGCAGAAACAACACAACCTGAGTTCAGGGAAACACCTCTTTTCCCACCACTTATCTAGAGCTGATATAAAAAAAAACTGAGGTTCCAAACCATACATAGTCTCTAAGTCAACAATCTTCCACTTCCCTCCTTGTACTATCCTTTCCCTTCCTCCAACCCCAGCCCCCAACTTAGCCACAGAGAAGCATAATCTACAACTAGGAAGCTCCTGCTGTTGACCATCCAGAAATTATGTGAAATAACGATAATAGCGAGCCAATATGCTGTGGAAAAATGTCAGATACAATTTGAGTCTCTATAGAAATCTAACCTGCCATTGTTTGTGGACTTAAGAAAACCAAAATAAGGTTCACTGTTACCGAAAGGAAGTTTGGTCAGAGATCAAGATTTTGTTCAAGGGTCTCAATAGCTAATTTTACACTCACCCAGCGTATAAATAAACCCCATTTGTAGATGCTGTTTTAAGTTGCTTTATGAGCCAAGATCATCAGTAGGCCATTGTTTATTTCCAATTCCAAGACTAGGCTAAAATCTATGTAGCTTCTCTTGAAAGTCCAGGCTGTGTTGTTTCAGCTTTTTAGTGGATATATACTGCAATGAGGAAACATTCCCAACTATTCAGCATTGTTCTCTTTAGTGTCCTGTGAAATTCACCCATACTAAATAATCATGTTCTGCTAATGGGAAATTTGTCTCTTCTAGAAAGAATACATCAAGCTATGCTGGGGAAGGAGAATTCATTTGATCTCTTCATGCAGAGATGGCTTCTCTTACTCCAGTCACTTCAGAGCACATGCTGGCCCTCCTAAGTCGTAGGCTCAGCCTTTTGTGGTGAGATCATAACAGTCCTTCTCCAAAGTCTTACTGTGGCACAGAACCAACTACGCGTGGGTTCTCAAAAGCTATGCCAGCAAATTTCAAGCTCTGGCATCATCCTAGTATCAGATTATGCCTGCTTTCCATTGCTTAATATGCAAAGGAATTATCACTGGAAGGTGGACTACTGAGGGATAAATTCTTTGGCCACAGTGAGCCATAAAATGGGTAAAAATACAAAATGGCCCTCAGTCCTGCATGAACCCCCTTCTACTTCTGAAGAGATCATGGCAGAAAGGAGAAGAGGGCATTAAGAATCAGCATTATTTTAGATTGCATATTAACTATAGATATTCAATGTGAAATCTGCCCAGTGACCCTACTGGAAGAACTGAATCATATCCATATTGACATTCTTGCCATAGATGAACCAGAAGACATAATGATGTGGCCACTAAATGGAAGGATGGCTCAGGTTCTCTTCAGAGAGGCAAAAGGAGTTGGTTTCATGTTTTGCCCAAATGCAACAAATATTATTTCACTGTCATCTCTACCTTGTGCTCATAATATGCATAAGCAAAATGATGATCACTGAGATAGTGATGCATAAATTTCATTTATTTGTTGGAGAAGATAATGTAGAAATACTTTATGAAGAACTTAAAATAACTTAAAAACCAAGTATATGTGTATGTTTTAATACTCAATTACCGCAATATGACAGTGGGCCTACAAGATAGTGAAGAATATGTTGGAAAACATGGTTTGGAATCAAAGTGTCTCCCTCAACCCGGCAAAAATAAAAAGTAGAAAACAGGCACTGTGATGTAGTACCTTGGACTACAGCAGGGTCAGGAGAGACCTGGGCTCAACTTGCAGCTCTGACACGAGCACTAAGGCCAGAAGCTAGTCACTTCTTTGAGTCTGTTTATTCATCTATAAAAGGGGGTGACTACTACCTGCAGTACCAACATAAACAGCACGCTGCAAACCTTAAATGATATATGATATAAATGGCAGCCATTATAGTGGACTATGGTAGAAGCTTCACACCTATACATCATTTTTTCAAGTCATGAGGTACTACATATGGCAAGCACTGAGAATGACAAAAAATGAAACTGTATCTTAGCAGACAAGAAATAACTGATAACCAATATGGAAGTCATTTCAGAATCATCTGTTTTTGTATATTCACTTCTTTGGTCAAAATACCAAATTAGGATAAAGTTGAGAAGACACTACATGCAAATGCTATAGCTCCAAATCAATATATTTAAACAAGATGTTGACTTTGAAAAATTGGTAAGACACTGAATCTGATTATCAAGAAGTTTTAATTAATGTAAAACATTAACCACAACTTGGTCACGAGAGTCCCAAAACCACCTCAACCAGCAAACACCTACTTGATCTCCTTGCTAGTTGGAAAGACATGGCAGCCAAAAGCAATATTAGTTTAGAACTTGTACTCTAAGGGGGAGGAGGACAGTTGATTAGGAGCAGTGTTTCCTTACAAAGCTGGAGGCGGTGAGGGTAAGGGGAAAGGGGAGAATAGTCACCTGTAAGGCTGTCCTTAACAAAGGTATTAAAAGCTAGGATAAAGTACAGTGGCAAAATTTCCAGTTTTACTTATCAAAACTATTAAAAAGGCTACCACAAAAATGTATATTCTACTCCCTTGTCCCTCAAAAGAAAGTAAGTTCCTTGGGAGACGGAATAATTTTGATTTTTGTCTTTGTCACTCTAGCATCCACCACAGTGCCTGGCATGTAGTACGTGCTTAATAAATGCTTGTTGAACTGAATATGCAAACCATTTTTTAGGTTTAAAAGAAAAATGACCTTGAGTATTTAAGTGTCAAGATCCTTTTAGGGATTAGATTCTCATCCCTGTTAACAACTTCCTGCATCTTTCCTTTATCAGTAGGTCCCATGTACTTAAAAAAGGAACCCTGAGTATGGAAGAGATAAGAGGTGGTTAAAAGACGTGAAAACATTGCAGTATATTTGCTATTTCTGGTACAATGCTTTAGAAACCATTGAATATATATATGGGAAAAGTTGTTATAAGGCCAAAATAAGCTATAGCTACATTGAATGCAATGTATACACACACAAACATATACTTAATACACATATATAAATGTAATGTGTCTATATATGTATATGTACACACGCACACACACACAAAACTTCATTGAAAATCACTTAACTGGAGGAAGAGGGGAGAGTCCTAACAGATTAAGGGAATTATGTTACAAAAGTTTTTAACTAAACCAACTGAATTTTGCAAATGGAGTGGACAAAACACAATATTAATTAGCCTGATAAAAATTTTTTTTCAAATAATTAGAATGCTTTCCCAGAGAAATAGGTCCAAAACTTTCTATGCATGTAACTGATAGGAAGTAAATGTTTTTCTTAGTTAAAATGAACTTACTAAAGTGAAGAGATTTATGCTTCCCTGATGTGCATCAATGGCCTGCTGAAATAACTGTACCTAAAACTTTGCCTGATGAAGGCTTTTATGCTTGTAAAAAAAAAGTCTATTCTATAAATATAAAGCATCAAAATGAGATAACATTTATGCTCAGTGTTATTATGTAGAAAGTAGCACAATGCAAATTCAAATAAATGAATCACAAAATAATCATTTAATGAACACTCAAAATTAAGTTACATATCTTTATTAGTATTAGCTTTTTTTGCTAAATTAAATTTTTATGTAAAGCAAAATAACTACATAAGAAAATGACACTTTAAGATCATACAGTATTTATAAAAAGGCACTTGTGGTTAGTCTTGCAACAAAGTGTATTTAGGGTAAGCTAAATCATATTTTCATATAAATCTATGAATATAACCAATGAGATAGGAACAGTATAAATAAGAAGTATGCAGTATTTACACTTATACAGAAACTAGCCCAAATGGTGCAACAAAGAAATATTTGCTGTTAAAAGTGAGATTATAGATTCTGCATACATATATATGCACCTTATTATTTTAATGCTTTTATATTGTGTGCAATTTCTATACTATATTGGATATATACTTGCATAGAATTTTTTTTTTTTATAAAATATCACTTAATTATGCATTTCACATCACAGTAGGAGCTTTTAGTAAAACAGTACAAAAACACTACCTCAGTAAAGGGCAAATCCTCCCAAATCTAATTTCTCTTAATGTCAGGTTTCTTGCTTTTGGGAACAAGGAATATATTTCCATCCCTTGTCTGCTGCAGGGAATACTCACTAGGGGAATAGGGGTCTCCATTTTCATCTCGTAGCATGCTGAAGACCTCAAGATATAAGGTGCTGAGCTGTTTTTTCAGTAGATGGAGGCTTTTGTCATTTTCTCCTTTTTCTTTGAGCAGCTTTTCCTTCTCATCTTTTAAGTGATCCAGATCTTGCTCCAGTTCCACGATATTCTCCAGTTTTCTTTTCCGGCAGTTCTGAGCAGCCACCTTGTTTTTACCCCTCCTACGTATATCTCGAATAAGTGCAAGCTGAGCCTCGTTAAACTGCTCTTTTGACATCATTTCATTGAAGTCATCCATAGGAAGGTTAATAATTTTTTCTACAGGGAAAGAGATATGAAGAGCTTTCGCTCTCATCTCATCTCTCGTGAAATGGGATTCTAGGCGGCTTGAATGCTTGTCTTTGGTGAATGGGGTTTTCTGGTGACCAGGACTGGTGGGCGATTCCTTCTTTGGCGTGCTTACACTCTGCAGCACGTCAGGCACTGGAACGGCCGGGCCCTGCGTGGGCGACACTGGATAACTCACATCCTCTTGAAATGGTACCGGCCGTGTCCTGGTGCTGCTCTGGTGAATGCTTCCAGGAGCACTGTCGACATCTTCCATTTCAGAATCACTGAAGCCGAGTGGTGTGTCTCCATAGATGGAAGACTCTACTGAGTGTTCCGGAGATGCCATGTTGGAGCTTGTGTTCAAAGAAATGCCTGAGTCAGAATCATTATATTCTGGTGTGTTTTCAGGATGGTTGCTGTTAAAAGCCTTACAAAGTGAAAGGTCAGAAATATCAATGGGCTCATTTAAAAGTTCTGAGAGTGACTGGTTGATGTGGGTGGGGGAAGGCATACTGCTGTTTATGTTTGTTTCTGCTATGAAAGTTGAGTAAAATTCCTCACAAAAATCAGTGTTCACTGTGGCATCTGAATTTAAAGAATTCATTCTCAACTGGTTAGGGTCTTCTTCGGGGAGCATGTTGCCAAAGGAGTCCTCAAATGCATCGAGGAAATCTGGACTGCAGGAAGCTACTTCTTTTTCCATTGTCGAGAGTGAAGTGTAGAAACTGTAGCTGTTGTCAATTTCTGTTGGTTTAGCTTCAGGACTCGGAACTATGGTGGCCTCAGCCAGCTTGTCATTTTGAATGTTAAGACACTGCATAAAGAAATGTTAAAATAAGATTTTAGGTGAGCAATGCCAAATATTTTCACACCATTAACAGTAGCTGATACCCATATCTGAAGCTGGTTTTAGGTAGTGCGTATATACGCAAGAATGCATGCGAGCAAACCCGCTAAAGTCTTCAAGTTGTTCTTAGAGAATTACATAGCCTATTTGAGTTGGAAGAACCCTTATAATCATCCAAACATTTTATACAGATATGGAAAGTGAGGTCCAAAAAGTTAAGCAACTTGCCCAAGGTCACCTATATGTCTAAGTGTAGTCTAATTTCTAGCACAGATGTTCATAAATGATTTGCATTTTCTAAGCATAAACATGATTTTAAGAGTTTCTAAGTCAGACCTGAAATGTTTGCCATCGGTCCTAGTCATCATGGTGGTGCATTATAAATTTTCTGCTTACTATGAAACGGGACAGGACCTGTTATTTTGCTGAAGGAGGGAAGACTTGGATTCAGGTGCCACCTTTGACATGTACTGACTTTGTGAACCAGACGAGTCACTTGGCCCCACATTACCCCGTGCAGCTGTCTTAAGACTATACATTGTCGAGTGGTTGCTAGTCTGTATTGGTAAAGGAAATTCATTTAACTTCTGTCTGCCTCAGTTCCTCAACAGTAAAATGGGGATCATAATAGCACTGCCTCCCAGGTGTGTGAGGATGAAATGAGATGATGAATGAGATGATATCTGTATAGTGCTTAGTATAGAGCCTGGCATAGTAGGGGCCATGCAAATACTTATTTATTTCCTTTCCTTTTTCCTAGAGAGCTGCCACTCACAGATGGTTAGTATGGGCTGCGAAATATAAAATAATGCCTTTGTTCTTGGTCTTGATTACCTGTAACTCTGGAATGGACAACAGCTCCTCCCACACTTGCTCTATATCCTGCATACTGTTGTCCACTACTGAATGAAGGGCAGTCGATCCAGGTAGCTGAGCTTGATTAGAAGTAATGAAGACTGGGTTGCTGTCAATGTGATCTGGAACAAGTGACTGAAATGTGGCTGAGGAAACCTAAAATTGAGAAATAATTTATTTAAAATATGAAGTTCTTACCAATAATACATGAAACCACAGCCCTTATGGAAACTCCTATGCCCCAAGCTATGATTATAGCTTTTTAAGTTCCTGTTGTCTCCCCTCTCCAACCCACCCCATATCTGACCCCAATTTCTTTTCTGTGCCAGATACAATTTTGTTCTTCCTGACCCAATTGACCCTCCCTACCTCTTACTCCGAGGGCCCCCCCGTTTATTATCTTGTTCATTATACGATAAACTTCAAGCATATCTGCTTGTGGGTGACAGTCAGAATTAAATTACCAAGACTGGGGTGATTACCCATTCTGCTCTGTACCTAATCATTTACCAAGTCAGATATTGGCCTATTGATGTAGGTTTTAATTTTATACAACCGTAAAAAGTGGATGCCTTGTGTCCATGGCTATTCTAACTGCTATCTTTGGTTAAGAGTAACAACAATTTGGCTCAGGTAGTTTTTATTTGGCTGAATTATTGTAATTAAAAAGTCAATAACAATGGCTACAAAGAAAATGTTTAGTGCACACTTCAACAACATGCTTTTCTGCACAGAATTTCTTCCCAAAAGATCTTTTTTTTTTTTTAAAGGAAAGCCCCTTTATGTGACAGTAAACGACTGAAAACTAAGTAGATGCCCATCAAAGTAGACAGCCATTCTGGTACAGAAATTGTGATCCATGAATGTTATGGAATATGACCTGTGCTATAAGAAATGATACATGTGATAAATACTGAAAAGCTTAGAAAGATTTATGTGAAGTAAGCAGAGCCAAGAAAACAATACAGACTAACTACAACAACGCAAATAGAAAGAACACCCCCCCAAAAAAATCAAAAGTGAATGTAAAGATCCAGAAAGACTCAGATGAAGAGGGATGAGAGGACACCCCCAAATCCACCCCTCTGTGGAAGTAGAAGGCCCACAGGTATTGCACATGCCACATATTTTCAGACTTTTTCAATGTATTGATGGATTGTGCTGATTTTTTCCTCTTTTTTGGGGGGTGGGTGGGTGGTAGTCTTTATTTATTTATTCTTTGGTTTTTTTTTTTTTAAGGTCATTGGGGTTAAGTGACTTGCCCAGGGTCATACAGCTAGTAAGTGTCAAGTGTTTGGTCTGAGGCCATATTTGAACTCAGGTCCTCCTGACTTCAGGGCCAGTGCTCTATCCACTGCGCCACCTAGCTGCCCCCCGGGTGGTAGTCTTTAAAAACTACTGTTTGTTCTATGGGACAGCTCTCCAGGAGGGAGAGAGGAGGAATGATGGAGGAAATATATGATGTAAAACAGAAGACATCTACAGAAGAGCACACATTCACGTCATACAGAACCGATTGTGTGAGTTCTAGAGTTTCTGTTGGACATCAGCCCAAAGCTTTACCTCATCATCTTCTACAAATGGGAATGTCTCTGATAAAAGCTGCATGCAGTCATCAAAGAAAAGAGCATCTGCTTTGGGGATGTCAGCGACCTATATGAGAGAAGCAGAGGTGAAGGAAAGTGTTGATGGCATTAATCAACAGACATTTACTGAACACTTACTCTGTGCCTAGGGACTCTCTACTCCCAAAGTAGCTGACAGTCCAGTGGAACTTCCCATACATCACATTTAAAAGTCACTTCACAAAGAAACTGATCACTTACCTGGGAATAGTTGGCAGATGTGCTCGGCTCAATGTGCTGGGCTGGCTGAATTGGGAGAAATTCACCTGTTTCCTCGTCTAACTGCAGTTGGGCCAGAAAGGCCTTCTCCTGTTCCTTCTGGAGTTGTTCTTGTCTTTCTTTTTCAAGTTTCTTTTGTTTTTCCAGCTCATGCTCTTTCCGTCTTTGACTGAAGTCAAACACTTCACGCCTTGCCCCAAGATCTATGTCTTGTCTCCAGAGGATGTCAATCAAATTCATATCCTATAAAAAAGAAAGAAAAGGAAGACTAGGTCAAGAGGGTTCCAAGATGCAGCTTCCTTTTAGTTTTAAACACACCTTGTGGAATATGAAAGTGCTACCTTCTATAGTATGTATGTATGTATACACACTTAGAGAACATTTAATATTTATAGAAGATACCACATGGCTAAGTAACTGATTTTAAAATGAATTTTACGCAGAACATCTATGTTTAAGATACTTACTGAAGGTAGGATAAGGTCAATTCTCTGTGATCCATAAGTGAATTGCCCACAATAAGTAAGGAAGCCAACACTGACTTCACCTGTCAGCCCTTTCTGAACTTTTCCTCTTGAATGATGGTTCATGCTTACAGAATGTGACTATTTTTAAGCATGAATTTTAAAGCAAAACTTTAACTATGAAGGAAGTCTGTTGAAAAGCCACAAAATGTGCAATCATTCAACAAATAAGTGCACTGATAATATGATGGGCTGAATGCTAGGCACTTAGGGTCATGTAAAGAAGTTTAAAAGGCATTCCTGTTCTCACCATCAATCAGTTTATAATCCAGATGGGGATAAGCCCTAGGCATGAAAAAAAAATTTGCTTCCTTTTATTGTAAGCTCAAAAACGAAACAAAACCCATCATATCAAAAACCAGTACTATATTTCATATAAAGGGAAAGGAAACTGTGAAATCCTTGAGGGCATGGCCCTAACTTATTTATTTCTTTCAATCTCCTAGGGTCTAATGGTGTCTTACACCTGGTGGTATAGGTTTCTTTTTTTTTTTTTTTTTACCCCTAGTCATGTCCAACTCTTTATGGCCCCATTTGGGGTTTTCTTGGCAAAGATACTTGAATGGTTTGCCATTTCTTCTCCTGCTCATTTTACAGATGAGGAAACTGAGGCCAACAGGATTAAGTGACTTGCCCAGGGTCACACGGCTTATAAGTGTCTGAGGTCAGATTTGAACTCAGAAAGATAAGTTTTCCTAACTCCAGGTTCAGTGCTCTATCCACTGTCCCATTTGTACCCTGCAGCACTTAATGTGTGCGTTGGATAAATGAATCACTCACTTTGGGGCCTGAATTAGATACTGGAAGTGATTATGGATAAGCTAAACAAATGCAAATAAAGATCATTTGCCCTTGGTAAGTGGTTGGATATGTGAGTTGAGTAAGAAAAGAGAGAAGTTGAAGAACATTCTTGAGATTTCAAACTCCAGTGACTAGCAAAATGGTGAGAAGTGAGAAGTCTGGAGAAGTAATGTGTGTATTTTTTTTGTTTTTTCAGAGTTGGGGGAGGGTGCTAAGTTCAATTCTACATATGCTGAGTTTGAGGTGACAGAAGTCCAACAAGCAACTAGAAATATAGGACCAGCACTTGTAGGTGCAGTCAGGGCTAGATACATAGATTTGGGAATCATGAATACAGAGATAATGAGGAAAAAGTAATTTCATTGTACAACGTCTGATTTAACTGGAGGATCAAATAATATTCAGGTCTGGACTTCTATGTTAAAATAACTTGTCGCCTATATAGTGATTTAATTAACATGAATAAGGTTTCCCACCCAAAAATATCATCCTCCTACTGCTAGGTAGCACAATGGATAAGAGCACTTAAGAGTCAAAGACTCAAAGAGAAGACTTAAATCCTGCCTCAGTCACTTACTAGTTATGTGATGCTGGGCAAGACACCCAGCCTCAGTTTTTCCATCTGTAAAATGGAGATAATAAAAGCACCTACCTCATAGGTTTGTTGTGAGAATCAACTGAGATAACGTTAAGTAAAGCATTTTGCAAATCAAAGTACTATATTAGCGTAATATTAGTATGAGTCAGATGCTTTCCTGTTAATTGCTAGCTGGGGTTAACTCACTGACAATGGTAGCTTTGATTCAGTATCATGATGGGGAGTAAGGCAATAATAATGGAGCATGAAGAATTCTCTTCGATAGGGTATGGAAACAACATCAGGAGGAGTAAAGTAGATAAGGACTGAAGACCAACCTCACCACTTTTGGTTTTGCTTAGTTGCCCTAATAAGTGCATCCAGTCCCAGCCTCATTCCCAGGCTTCCCAAGGCTAAAATTAACAATTATTTCAGCAAGCAGTCAACCTATTTTTAGTCTCAGAAGCAGAGCCAGGCCACCAAACCCAGAGGTATCCCTGCTCATTGGATGATGGCAACACACATCTAGCCCTAGACTGTTCAGGTCTTAAATTTTGCTTATTCACACTTGGAGCAATTTTTGGCTTCAGTACAATTCTAGACTTGGACTTTGTAATATATACATAGACATTTTAAATCTGGTATAGTTAGAATCCCAAATCTCTCAGTCTTTAGAATCTGTTCAATTTAGAACTATATGCTAGTATAATTTGACAGTTAATCTAAGAGTATAAACATCATCTCCCCCATATATGTACTGTATATATGTATGTACTGTGTATATGTATGTGTGTGTGTGTGTGTATTGTGTGGGGAGATGGAGAACAAGAGAGGCAATTTGGAGAGAGGGATGGGAGAAGAGATTTCTAAAAGACAAGAAAGAGACTCCTATTTTCAGATTCTAGACAATTGGAGTCTTGTTTCTTATTATTGTGTTTAACTCCACACAGGTCACTGAAGTGCCTTCCAACTCTCAAATTTAGTGATTCTGTAATAATAAGGTGTGACATAGTACACTATACTGGACTAGATGTCAAGAGACCTGGGTTAGTTCCAGGTCTACCACTGATTAATCAATATTACTTTTTCCAGAAGTGGAAATCCCACCATTGTTAATTTTGATTAAGGAGGCATTCCATATGTTAAGAGTCCACTATGTGCCCCCCACAGAGAGAACCAAAGGAATGAATGGAAACACTCAAAAGCCCATCATGCCTTAGTCTGTCTGTCTCTCTCTGTAAAAATAGGAACGATACTACCTACTTTCTACTTATCTTATGGGATGTTCAATCTTAGAATGCTTTGAGTATTTTGGAAAACCAATACAAGAAAACCTGGATTCCAAGACACCTGTTTTAGTAAATCATATCATGTCAGAGTTGAAGGAGACTGCAGAAGTACTTCAATCTAATCTGTACCTTAAAAAAAGAAAAAGATCCCCTATACAACATGACAAGCATGTTTTTTATTTTGGTGCTGCCAAAAAATTAGTGTTTTTTAAACTTATTTCCATATTTTGTTCTATGTGTTCATATATTCTCTCTCACACATCAGTTACTGGATTTGATAGGAATTAAATAGGATTAAATAGGAAGTGTTTCCTGCAAGAGGCAGCATGGGCTGAGAACATGACTGAGTGGGCAGAGAACGTGACTGCACTCTTTTCAAAGTTCTTGCATCATCCAAGAGGAAATAACAATCACAACAAAACACTCCATGAGACTAGCTGGGGAAGGGTGGGGAAAAGGAAGAACTAAAACTAACCTAGCATCTGCATATAAAATGTGTGAAAATGAAGTAGCCTTGCCTTTTCCTTTGCCTCTCCATGGTATCAAAAGAATCACAGATGTACTCTATGATGGAATCAGGATATAGTATATAGACATCAAATATATTCGCTAAGTTTTGAAGAGAGAAAAGAATGTATACAGTTTTCTAAGAATTCTGATAGGCATTTCCTTGATTTGGGGTAAAAATACATGGCTAACTTGTTAAGCGTAATCAAGTTTAGGCTTCCTTTTTCTTTTCAGATGGCATATGGAGTAAATATTGTCTGGCATTCAGTCTTGATTTTTTTTTTGGTTCTTTTGGTGATATGTTGTTACAGAATCTGTTCCAAACCACACTGCTAGCTTGGTTTAGACAAAAGAAGATAATTTTAATAAGATAAGCATAAATGTTCAACAATTCATGTTAAGCTACCATCTGGTTCCATTGGAAATATTCGTTTAAAATTTATATATCAGCACTTGCCATCTGTGTAATCTGTTACACATTTTATGAGGAAACTGCCTGCATTGTGAAGTTGGACGATTAACTCTTACTGCTTTTAAACAAACATCTTTGCAATAGCATAAACAAAGATAGAGAAAGGCCCTGAATACATAATCCCCATTTCTCACGTCCTTCAAATGCAGTTTAATTCCCTCCTTCCCCCAACACTCCACTGCGGACAGGTTCGAAGCAGATGGAAGGAGGAGGATCAAGGGAAGAAGTCTAAGTAAACTTTTTTATAAACTAATCCTGTAGAAAGTAATTTTGAAATGAATTACAATAAGGTTTCATTTGGTGTTTTACTTTTAAGTCAGGAGGGATTTCACCCCACCCCCAACTCCTAATTTTCCTTTGTAAATCCAAGCTTTCTCCCATGCTTGAAAATATTCTTCTACCTCATCCTTGTTCAGACATGTCTGACTCTTCATGACCCCAATTGGAGTTTTCTTGGCAAAGATACTGGAGTGGTTTGCCATTTCCTTCTCCAGCTTATTTTACAGATGAGGAAACTGAGGCAAACACAGTTAAGTGACTTATCCAGGGTCACCCCGCTAGTAAGGTATCTGAGGCCCGATTTGAACTCAGAAAGATGAGTCTTAGTGACTCCAAGCCTGGCACTCTATCCACTGTGCTACCTAGCTGCCTTACCTCACTACTGCCTCCTGAATCCTTCAAAGGTCAGTGTACCTCCTACATAAGGCCTTTCCTGAGTCCCCTTCCCCCCCACATAGTAGTGCTGCTCTCTCCTAAATTCCACATACTTAACTCTATATATATTGTATCTACTTATTTATATGTATATATATCTACTTATTTATGTACATTATTTGTGAGGGTAGAGAGTATTATATTGTTGTTGTATCCTAGTACTGAGCACAATAGCTCGCATATAGTAAGCACTTAATAATGCTTGATTAGAAAAGAATGTTTTACCAAAGAACTGCTCCAACAATAAGCTGCCCACAAAACTAAGTTTTACAATCAATCAATCAAACAAGCATTTATTAGGTCCTTACACAAAAGTACTGGAGATGGACATGCAGAGAAAAAGCAAAAACAGTCCTGGC